TGAAAGGTTACAAAGAGATAAAGAGTGAGAGTACAATTAGCTACGGAAAGCATGTGAGTATCCAAAGTCTTCCAAACATCACCAAGTCTCATCAATTTTGGTTAATTTACATCTACATCATCAAATATTTTGCTTACACTGAGATGAAAATATAAACATCCAGTTAATATGACAGTTGTTACATAGAAAGCAAACTGGTCGAATGTGGCTGTGAAATGATTGCTGATCTACCAAGCACAACCCACTGAACATGTTGTCAGAAAAGCTTTGAGAAAAAGCGCCAGAATAAAGCGCGTCAATAACCAACCAGCGAATTCTACCAATGATGAGGATGGAAATTTGAGTATAGTATGCAATAGTAATTTTCCTTTCTTTTCGCCCACTTCGAAGAATTTAGATTCCAATATTGTCAGACAATGAACTTCTGTGAGTTATTGCTTGCAAAGATAATCGACAAAGTGCAGTTACATTCAAAGCAGGTGAGGCTAAACTCAAGAAAATATAATCCTATATTACTCATGTGAAAGATGACCATATGATTTAGACTAGAAAGAAACTGATCAGCAAAAAGGACCTTTTTGTGACTTCTCATTATAACTGTACAGTCATATAGTAGTTCATATACACCATGCATAATGCCAACAAGGGTTGAAGGTTAATGTTATTTATTAACAAAACATATTGACCTGTAAATAGGAGACTGAAAATGGTTTAATGTAGAATATAACAATTCGATCTCATCGAACAAAAATTGGCAGACACAAAATAATGAATGGAGTCCTGAAGGGATTTTCTTTTTTTGGTATGATGGTGTAGAGGACAAGAAAATTACACACAAAATTTGAGAGGGATTTCAGTCAATGAAGTCGGGCTGTAACAAAAGTAATGGAAGTACATTGAAAAGAATATTGTTGAGCAAAAATCAGAGAAATGTGAAGCTAAGGCCATGGTAGCAAAAGAGACTCAATAAAACACTTATACACACAGAGTTCAGGATTCCGTTTGTAAATAACTGGAGTTTGTGCAGTACAATGATGATGTAATCGATATCCCCTTAAACAACCCGGTTTCATCCCATGTATCACATCAAATAAATTGTGCAGCGGCTGTGTGGCCTAACAGAACAATATATTTTGAAACAGAAGTGATCTGGATTCTGTTTACGATAACCACACTGGTTAGTGTTCGTCTGCACGTCTTGAAAGTGTCCTGTTGGTAGGGCATATCTCCTTATCTCCTCAGGAGCAAGTAATTTTTGTACGCATGTGTGTGCTGCCAATAACGAAACCTTCTCTTCGATATTTTGACGAGTGAGAACTTGTAAGAAGAAAGTTAGACATAGTGAAGTAACAAAGCGAAGGATTTTCCTCAAATTGCTTTTGTGAGGCTAACTTGTGAAAACCGACTCATTAAACTTCCTTCGGATTTTAAGCTCATTCACAGACACTATTTAGGCAATTTTAATTTATGTTTAACATCAGGCTTATTTTTCATATATTTATCAACAGATGAGCTTGATATACATTCCTAACCAGAGTAATATTGAGAAATCCCAATTCTCTATCCAATGTATCTTCCATGCATACGCAATAAATTCTTGCAATAGGAGAGATAATCAGATTCCTTTTGCTGTTCAAAGGGGTAAAACTGTAAAAGTTCGCCAATTACTCGTTCCACTTAGGTTTATAACAAATCCATCTTTGAAGTGATCCATCACTTCAA